CACTCGTGAGTTATGAATGGTAATATAATTTCGAATCCAAATATCAGTGAGGGTAATATAGGATACTTTTGGAAAAATCAGCTAAAAAAATAGTTTCTCCGTTCTTTATTAATTGTCTCGTATTCTTTTTTTGGAACATCTTTAATTATTTATCTCCATTTCCTTTTTTCATAAGTTTTTTCAATCAAAATACCTTTTTACCTCCACTTGAAGTCTTTAATTACCTTTAACCCTTTCTCTTCCCTACATTATCATTTAAACACAAAAGACTACACCTTTTACATTTCTGCTATTATTTTCTCCTTAAAACCTATCCTCAAAGCCTAAGGGGACACTTAATAAAGAACGGAGAGAGTACTTAATTGTTTCATTCACAGTCAACTTTTTTGGTCAACGACAACCAATTTTGATCAATAATACGGAGTATTTTTTAATAAAAAATTATTTTGAATTTGAAAATTATATCAAAATGTTCAATATTCAAAACATTTTTATAAAAGTATAAATTTTTTAATTATATAAAAATATATTAATTAAAATTATGCCCCAAAGTTTGTCATCATTAACAAAGAAAATCAATGTGGCGAACCTTTTCGGGACAGAGGTAGCATTTTTTTACTACTAAAAAGATCTTTGTAGTTGTTTGATAAAAAGGTGACTATTTGATTTAGATTTATTTCATACAACAAGCTGTTGTGACTAAGGGTATGTTCGGCACAACTAGCCGAAAAGATAATTTTGTGATCGTTTTAGTAACTATTACTACCCATGTCCCGCTTAAATGTTCTCCAGGGCCGGTCCTGGGGGGTCCTGGGGGGGGGGGAGGGGGGTTCCTAGGGTTCTCCAGGGCTGGTCCTAGGGTGCAAAAGGGGCGACCTCCCTAGGCCCAAAAAAATAGCAAGAAAAAATAGGCCTAAAAATATTTCATTATATGTAGTGTGACTAGACTCCTTTTTTTAATTTTTAAACTCAATTAATTAGGCCCAAAGGTTTAATTTTTAAAAATAAATGTAAAGAGGCACGACTGTCTTTATTGTCTTCACAACTCTATGCTTTATAATCCTTTTAATTACAATATTACCAAGTTATGTTAAGCCTCACAATTCCAAAATTCCCAATTGGAAAACCCATCCAAATTGATTTGTTGTTTCCAAAATCAACAAAAATAAAGAACACTGCAAAGTGGTGAGTGCATCAAAGTTTTGTTAAGAACCTAATCAATCGAGGAGGTCAAACGGCGATCTATGACCAAAAAATTTCTTCTTTCAAGGCTTCAAACAATCCAATAATGACCAATAAACCATTCTTCATAAAATGAGTGAATCAGGTTGGGATAATGAGAGAAAGAGGAGAAAATTAGAAAAGGTAGGCTTAAGTTAGAAGGGGTCAATGGAAAAAATTGTTTTTGTTAAGAAATTGAATCTTGAAAATTTCGTGAGAAACGTTTTTAAGTAATGTTTTTCGAAGTTGAGGATTCTGATGAATTATCTGCGATCGAATATGCCTTAAGAAAGACTTAATGGGTTAGCAATTTTAAGTATTAAACATGAGACATTGGAAAAAGCTGATTATGAAGCAATTATTGATGATTTTGATTCACAATGTTCTGCGAGAAAGATTTTTAAGTAATTTTTTTTTTGTGATACTTGTGTTGTTACTTTTCACCAAATATGTATTTTAAATGATAACAATAAAATGAGATTCGTTTTTATTTTATGACCATTATTAGACATGTCACGCCCCGGACCTCCCCGGACACGTCAACAACCCGCCGTACAATACGAATAGTCAACCGCAGTCCAACACATTCATATTATACAAGGCGTCTTGAATATTATTCACACACATAACATCCATAAACAAACATAATAAGTAATTCATAACGCAGCGGAAAACATTGTTTAAAACAAAAGGGCCACACAGGGCTACTCATGAGCACGCAGGCTCTTTAGTAAAATATCCATGAGCATGCTTAATATTGTTCAAAACAGAATGGAGAAGGCACGAACCACGTCTTCTCTCCAAAGGATCACCCGAGCAACGGGCACAGGTAGCAAGCTCGAGCCTCAACCTGAAATGGTGGTGGGACGCCCCCGAAGGGGTCAGTACTCTATATGGCTATAAAGTACTGGTGTGGATGGCATCTAAGGGATATACAACAAGTATTTCAAATACAAGACCCTCAAATAGGGTGATAATACAATATAGTGGTAACCCTAAGTTACCCCGTTTGAATATATACTTTCTTTAGATAAAAGTCAAGTAGTCGGCCCGTGGGCCCATATTCATTTAGAAATCACCATTCCCGTTCCCCGTGACTATAAGCCACGACAATTCACAGAGTTCATCACATTACCATTGCATAGCAAGGGCTCGGCCCAACTACATTTCTATGCAATCTTTTATGTCAAGTACATCCTATCACATTTGCATAGCAAGGGCTCGGCCCAACTACATTTCTATGCAAATCACAATTTACATGGCAAGGGCTCGGCCCAACTACATTTCCATGCAAATCACAATCACATCCTATCACATTTGCATAGCAAGGGCTCGGCCCAACTACGTTTCTATGCAAATCACAATTTACATGGCAAGGGCTCGGCCCAACTACATTTCCTTGCAAATAACAATTACATGGCAAGGGCTCGGCCCAACTACGTTTCCATGCAAATAACAATTACATGGCAAGGGCTCGGCCCAACTACGTTTCCATCCAATCATAGAGTCTGGCTCAAATTCTTCATTATAGTCCAATTCCTAAGCAAACCTATGCCTAGAATTGACATCTCAATAAGCTACCTTGGGTCATTCTTAATAACTTCCCATAACTTACCCTTAGTTTCATACTAAGTCATCTTATACACTTGAAGTACATTCAAGTGCATTTCATGCAATCCAATACCTAGGATCAAATCTATCAACAATTTCAAATAATCACTAACTAGTATTTCAATACTATTAAGATTATTGTCATCATACAACATCCTCATTTTATAATCCTCTACATATTTATAAGTATGTAGCAGCAACTTAAATATTCAACTTCAATACATAAACATCCATTTATGTATCCACATATTCAATACATGAGTAAAATGCCTATTTCACCAAAATAGTTCATTAATAACTCATTAAACCTCATATTATCCATACAACTTCAAATCATTTCCAATTTCATTATTTGTCCACTATATCAATATTTTATCAATATTCAATCATCACAATTCATGAAAAAATTATGATTTAGGCATTTAGGTAATCTCATGCTTAACCTACAAGTTGTAAGCAATTAGATGTCGATCCTCACCTTAATTGAGCTTTAAACTCTTCCTTCTTGATCCAACGGTCAAAGCTTCGGTCAAGGTGGATTAAGAACTGATTCCTTGCTTAAATATGAGTGTTAAACAGCCTCCTCAAGGTGCTAGCTCAACCCCTAAATGTCGATACGGAAACAGCCCCTAGAATGGGTGTCTTTCCGGCGAATTCGTTCCTTAACCTTTCAAGGTTTTGTCTAGGTTAGTATCTAATCTTTCCAACAATTAAAGTCACTATATAATAACATTTTATACACTTCAACCAGTTTATAATAGCTCTTCAATCATTCATATGATTTAGACAATAGAGAGGAAGGTTTTGGATTCAAACTTACTTTGAATACAAAAACGTATTCTGCGAGGTTGTGTTTTGTTCGGACAATTTGGAAGCCTTCCACTACTCCTATTGATGCAAACCAGACCTCCACGGATTCCTCGTCTAGAGAGCTTTCTTTTGGTATCTTATACGACTTAATTGGACGAGTTAATCTCAAGTTATGGCTCAAACACTCAGAGCTACGCACTGAAGAACGAACCTGTGGACTACTCTCTTCCTTCCTTCTCTCTTGGGGTTGTGTGGATCCCCTTTGCTCTCTTATCTCATTGGGGTTCGAATGGGGTGTAGGGGGAGTTTATAGGAGGCCTCAATCATGCTAAGAGAGAATGTGGTTCACAAAAAGAAAGGTAGGGTGTTTGATTTCAATCAAACATGGTGTGGACCTCCTCTTTTATTTCATTTTTGTAATGTTGTAGCTCATGAGTCAAAAAGTCCGCCCCACATAGTTGTCTCACCCATTTTTTCTTTGTCTTGCAGGTAACAAGGTCATGTGGAATGGTTCCCAAATGATCCCATTCAATTTGGGGTCCAAAATACCTACCAATACTTCCAAAATGAAAAGAAGGACCCAATTGTTTTATCTTTGTCATGAGATGTCTTTTTGTACTCATTACTCCCTCCGTCCCGCTATGATTGTCCCATTTTACCATTTCGGTCTGTCCCACTAAGATTGTCTCATATCTTATTTGGTAAAGTTTGTGTGGTTCTAAATCATTCCTACTTTATTTTTACTTTACAAATTCAATATCAACCACATAAACCCACTTTTATTAATAACCGTGTCACCTTCTCTTGTCCCAAACATAGGGGGACAGAAGTAGTATAATTTATGTAGGCCAAGTCAACTTCATACATCATATTATTGATCCCCAATATGTGTAGGATCATCCCAATAATTTACATGATGAATATTATAGAAGAAAAAAAATCCTACTCCCATTATTTAGCTCAATAATGTCAAAGATGGGACCATAGGCATTTGTATTCTTCTCTAATCATTCCATCACTTATTTTGACATTTGTCGTTCATATGATTGGACTACTAGCCGTGTGGGTCACCCTCGAGTGGGCCTCAGACGCCCTTCTTGAATACTTACTATTTTTAGCAGGTTGGGTCCAAAATAATGCTTGGGCCGCCCGACCTTCCTCAACTTGCCTTGAAAGGTTATGTAACATTATTTAGGTAATGTTGGGCTCTTATGTTCATTAATAAGGCCCAAATAAGTATTTGCAAACCCGACACCTGTCACGCCCCGGACCTACCGGACACGTCAACAACCCGCCGTACAGTACGAATAGTCAACCGCAGTCCAACTCATCCATACTATACTAGGCGTCTTGAATACCATTCACACATAGTACATCCATAAACCATCATAATGTAAAATATTTAATTAAGCAGCGGAAACATAATTACAAATATTCAAGCCACACGTGGCAACCACGGGCATACAAGCCCCAAATAAATATTCGAAATAATATCCATGAGCATTATTTAAATTGTTTTCAAAACAGAAACAGAAGAAGCACGAACCACGCCTTCCTCCTTGAATTCCCCGAAGCAACGAGCAGTAGTAGCAAGCTCTACTCCCTACCTGAAACTGTGAGGTGGCCTCCCCCGTGAAGGGGAGGTCAGTACTTGGAAGCATTTGACAAGTACAATGACAACTATACTAAGTATAATCAAAGTTTCAACTTCCAAGACCCTCAATCCAAGATGTTATTCATTTGTACTTAACTCATGTTCCTTCATGCTAGAGCTCGGCTCATAGTCATGCTAATTTGTGCTAGAGCTCGGCTCATAGTCACCCTACGTTTGCTAGAGCTCGGCTCATAGTCATACTAATTTGTGCTAGAGCTCGGCTCATAGTCACCCTACGTTTGCTAGAGCTCGGCTCATAGTCATACTAATTTGTGCTAGAGCTCGGCTCATAGTCACCCTACGTTTGCTAGAGCTCGGCTCATAGTCCTGCTACCACGTGCTAGAGCTCGGCTCATAGTCACGTCAACTAATCCCTAAACCACTTCTTAGTCTAGGTTTCATCAATTATTAGTAACCCTTAAGGCCTACTCCAAATGTAACTTGAGTTCATAATAATTTGAATATCTCAATTAAATTCCACATTCAAGTATAACTTGGCTCTAATATCAAAATATCACTTTTATCCTTCCATGACTTCCTTACATGAGGTAAAAGTATATTTATCACAATTGAGTTTATAGTTTACACAACTATTATACCATTGTATTCATAACACATAATCATACACAATTTATTCATAAATTCGTATATTATGCATTTTTGCTTATAATCAATAAGAATCTCATTTAGGCATTTTATTATTATAAATACATCATGCCAAACACATATAATTCATTTAGGTAATCTTATGAAATTAACCCAATAATTATAAGCAATATAGTCGGTCATCCTCACCTTAAGTGAGCTTAAGCGTGTTCTACGCTCCGCGGTCAATCTTTGACTAATTCCGGTGAACTTTGACCAACTCCGGCGAACTTTGACCAACTCCGGTGAAACTCCGGCGAGGTTCAAAAATGCTCCAAACAAGTCCCTAACAAGGTTTTGACATCATAAAACCTTAATCAATACAAATAACCTCTAAAAGGTTATTTTCCGGTGAACTTGTCGGTTTGGCTTCTAAGTCCATTTTTGGACTTAGAACCACTCCCCAACCCATCATTCCACACTTTAATTATGTAGAACAACTCTCAAGGTCTTTCATATGATATATATCACATATGATAGAAGAAAAATAAAGGAAAAGTTAATATAAGGTTATTACCTTAATCTTTCTCACTTTTCCTAGCCTTTCCTCTCTTTAACTTTTCCTCTTGGACCTCTATTGCTTGAGCTCTCTTCAAAGATGGAAAAAGAGGATGGAGGTTTTCTTTGTCTTGCTTGGGATAGTGCTGGCCGAGAGGAAGAATGGGGGAGAGAGTGGGTGAGGTTTCCTTTTTGGCATCTTTGCCAAATGAGTGAGAATGGGGCCCTTGGGATGTCAAGGTTGTCCCTCCCATCTCCTCAAGCTTTTCAGCCCATGTGTGATATAGGTCAGCCCCCCTTTTTGTTGCTAAATTCGTGGGTTGGCCCCCACCCATGTGGGAGGTCAACCCTTTTTGTCTAGAAGTGTACAATCGGCCCCGAAAGTTGTATTTTTCGGACTGTTTTAAATATATTTTATTTTATCGGGTCAAATAAAATATATTATGTGTTCTTAATCATTATACCCTTTATAATGAATATACATTCCCAAACTTTAATTTATAAGTCCCCGAAATTCAATTTCGAGCTTTTATCGGTTAAATTATCAATACCGATATTTGGGCTTCTTTTGACCAATCGGTCAACTCTGGACCTTTCCATGGTTCAAAAGAAGTAGCCACCCCTATATAATTATTATCTTGACCAAGATAAATAAAATATATGGTTTCGGGAATTTCGGGCGGCCCCCGCCCCCGGTGTGGGCCCACGTGCGGATTTACTGTTCACGTAAAAGAATTAATAAAATTCACAATGTCGCATACTCATTAACCATTCCACAAGTTTCAATACACTATTTACTCAAAAGTAAATACATTTGGGGACGGTGTTACAAGTTCACCCCCCCTTATTTGGGATTTCGTCCCCGAAATCCATGTGTCTAATCGAAAAGAAACAGGTATTGCTCCCTCATTGAGACCTCGGTCTCCCAGGTTTCTTCTTTGACTCTATCACTCCTCCAAAGGACCTTTACCATAGGAATCTCCTTGTTCCTCAGTTTCTTCACCTGTTGACCCACAATCCTTACCGGTTCTACTGCATATTGTAGGTCTTCGCGTATCTCTACCGGTGGCTTCTCAAGAATATTAGATGGATCTCTCACGTATTTCTTGAGCATCGATACGTGAAACACGTCGTGTATCTTCTCAAGTTCTGGCGTCAACTTGAGACGGTATGCTACAGCCCCTATCCTTTCAAGGATTTCAAATGGACCAATGTACCTGGGGTTAAGCTTTCCCCTCGATATGAATCGAATGATACCCTTCCAAGGAGAAATCCTTAGGAAGACCTTATCACCAACCTCGAACTCCAATGGCCTTCGTCGTTTGTCGGCATAGCTCTTCTGCCGATCTTGGGCAGCCTTGAGTCTATCCTGAATGACTTTCACCTTAGCCTTGGTGATTTCAACAAGTTCAATTCCCTCGAGCTTGGCCTCGCCAACCTCATCCCAACATAACGGTGTTCTGCACTTCCTCCCATACAATGCCTCGTATGGAGGCATGCCAATACTCGCCTGATAACTGTTGTTATAGGCGAACTCGACTAGAGCCAAATGTTTGTCCCAACTTCCTTGGAACTCCAGAGCACACGCCCTAAGCATGTCCTCCAATATCTGTATCACTCGCTCGGATTGTCCATCCGTCTGTGGGTGAAAAGCCGTGCTGAACTTCAATTTAGTGCCCAAGGATGCTTGAAACTTGGGCCAAAATCGAGATGTGAATCGTGGATCCCTATCCGAGACAATGGATATAGGGACTCCATGTAGTCTCACAATCTCCTCCGTGTATAGCTTTGCCAATCTTTCGAGAGGGTAAGTGATGTTGATAGGCAAAAAGTGTGCACTCTTGGTGAGCCTATCAACTACTACCCATACCGCATCATAGTTGTTCACGGTCCGTGGTAACCCCACCACGAAATCCATAGTCACATGCTCCCACTTCCATTCTGGAATGGAAAGTGGCTGTAATAACCCAGCTGGATGCTGATGTTCTGCCTTGACTTGCTGACAAGTAAGGCACCGACTGATGTACTCGGCTATCTCTCTCTTCATACCGGACCACCAGTAACTTTCCTTCAAATCACGATACATCTTCGTGCCCCCCGGGTGCATGGCATAAGCCGATGAATGAGCTTCCTCTAAGATGGACTTTCGGAGCTCATCATCTGCCGGCACACACACTCGGTCACGAAATAATAAAAGACCGTCGTCTCTTTCCCTGAAGTCCTCCACCGGTCCCGCTTGCATGCGTTCCCTGATCCTCATAATTTCATCGTCAGTTTCCTGACCCTTCTTGATCTCATCAAGCAAAGTAGGTCTCACCTCAAACCGTGCCAATAAGGCACCATTGCTGGACACCTCCAGCTGGGCTCTTAATGCCCTCAAATTAGCTATCAATGCCACAGATGAGCTCTTCCGGCTCAAAGCATCTGCCACCACATTTGCCTTGCCTGGATGGTACTCAATCACTAGATGGTAGTCCTTTATCAACTCCATCCACCGTCTCTGCCTCATGTTTAACTCTTTCTGAGTAAACACGTACTTCAAGCTCTTATGGTCAGTGTATATGTGACATGTCTCTCCGTAGAGATAATGTCTCCAAATCTTCAGTGCGAACACCACTGCTCCCAACTCTAGATCATGGGTGGGGTAATTTACCTCATGCTTCTTCAACTGTCGTGAAGCATAGGCAATTACCCTCCCCTCCTGCATTAACACACATCCAAACCCTTGGATGCTCGCATCACTATAGACATCGTACCCCATACCCTGTTTGGGTAATGCAAGTACCGGTGCCTCGGTCAATCTCTTCTTCAGTTCAGTGAATCCTTTCTCACATTGGTCATCCCATACAAACTTAGCTCCTTTTCGAGTGAGCTTCGTCAATGGTGATGCCAAAACAGAGAACTTCTCCACGAACTTTCTATAGTATCCTGCCAATCCAAGGAAGCTACGAATTTCCTTGACGTTCTTTGGCCTCTCCCATTCAGTGATGGCTTCTATCTTCTTGCTGTCGACAGCAATTCCCGATCCCGAAACCACATGCCCGAGAAAACCAATCTCCTTAAGCCAAAATTCACATTTAGAAAATTTGGCATAGAGCTGCTTCTCCCGTAGTGTCTCAAGAACGAGTATCAAGTGCTCCTCATGCTCTTCCTCACTCTTTGAGTAGATCAAGATGTCATCAATGAACACAATCACGAATCGGTCCAAGTATTTGTGAAATACTCGGTTCATCAAGTCCATGAATGCCGCCGGGGCGTTTGTTAACCCAAACGACATAACAAGGAACTCAAAGTGCCCATACCTCGTGCGGAAAGCACTCTTCGGTATGTCATCCTCCTTAATCTTCAATTGATGGTACCCCGACCTCAAGTCAATCTTTGAAAACACGGTTGCTCCTCGTAGTTGATCAAACAAGTCATCAATCTTAGGCAAAGGATACCTATTCTTGATTGTGACCTTGTTCAGTTGACGATAGTCAATGCACATTCGAAGTGTTCCATCCTTCTTTTTCACAAAAAGGACCGGTGCTCCCCACGGGGAGTGGCTTGGTCTAATGAAACCGTTATCCAAAAGCTCTTGCAATTGGGTTTTTAACTCGTTAAGTTCAGCGGGTGCCATACGGTATGACGGTATGGAGATTGGTTTGGTGTCAGGCTCGACTTCGATCACGAACTCAATCTCCCTATCGGGTGGAAGTCCCGGTAAGTCTTTAGGAAAGACGTCCCGATACTTGCATACTACCCTAACATCATCAATGCTCGTCTCTTCTTTGGTTTTGTCCACCACATACGCTAGATATGCGTGACATCCCTTCCTCATCATATTCTTAGCCCTCACAGCGGATATGATACAACTATCGGATTTTGCCCTATCCCCCTCGAAGCGTAAGGTTACCCCTTCATTGCCTTCGAGTTCAAGTACTTTCGTGTAACAATCGACCCTAGCATGATGCTTCTCAAGCCAATCCATCCCCAGGATTGCATCGAACTCAATCATACTCAGCGGCACGAAATCACACGACAAGTTTTGGCCCTCCACCTCCACCTCACACGATGGATAGTGGCTATCTCTCTCGATGTCTTCCCCTAGGGGTGTGGATACCAATAGGGCTTGAGCCATCGGTACCAGGGGTACATTGAATCCCCCGGCGAATGCCTCATTCACAAATGATCGTTGCGCCCCGGTATCGATGAGGATTCTCGCACATCTCCCATTAATCTTTAGCGTTCCTACATTTATAAGCCATGTAAGATACCTCTCTAACATACCGACCAATCCTACGAAGAACATAATGCGAAATTATGTCCTTAAAGTGGGCAAAATCCCCCAATTATGGTTGACGTTCGCAGTTGAGATATAAATTGACACTGTCTCACCGTTTTGATCATATCTCTTCACATACTTAACCAAATCGTTCGGTTCAAATTCCATCATTTAGACAATGAAAATATCTACAACTTTCATGAAGACAACTTTTTCATTTGACGAACACCTTGGGGTGTACTCGGTCGGGTAACATACCATACCCGGTCGGGTATGAGTTCCAGTGGATAATCTCCCACTCTACCCGACCTGGTAGCAAGTCGGGCCACGATATTCATCAGACCCGGTCGGGTACATCATAAGACCCGGTCGGGTTTGTGTTCCAGTGGGTAATCTCCCACTCTACCCGGTCTGGTAGCATGTCGGGCCCAAATTTTCTCATCAGGCCCGGTCGGGTACACCACCAGACCCGGTCGGGTAGGTGTTCCAGTGGGTATTCCAGTAGGATTTTTTAGTAGACCCGATCGGGTGGCCCAAAATGCCCGGTCGGGTATGTGATCCAGAATGCTTACGAGGGCAAAAACTTGTCCTACCCGGTCGGGTTTATTGCCCTACCCGGTCGGGTAGTAACATGGTTTTGCTCTCTTTTCCCATTTCGATCTTACGTTTGCTCTCACCTGGATTCTAGAATTTATAACTTCAATTTATGGATGGGGAATGCGTAAAGCGAGAGGAGTTAAGCGGTCAAACCTGCAACCGAATCTGGGTTAGCTCGGGCATCCGCCTCCGTCATTGCGTAGACCCTTGCTTGGGTCCTTCCTTGGTTCACGGAGGGTGCGTTGCTCGTACTTGCTCCCCCTTGCCCTGTACTAGCATGGGGTGGTTCGGTTCGGTTCCTACTTGCCGTGGTAGCGCCGCTCGATCCCGCCCCTCGGTTCCCACCAAGTTGAGGGCAATTTGGCTTGATATGCCCTGTGCTCCCGCATTGGTAGCACCGTGGTGGATCACGACACTTACCGGCATGGCTCCGGTTGCAATTCCTACACCTTGGCGTCGTTGACGCTTGTGAGCCCGAGTTGTGCCCGCTGAAGGCCGGGTTCCCTTTTGATGGCGGTGCCGGTGCCCTGAACGATCCACCTCCCCCATGGTTCCCCTTCTTGTTGGAACCTTGGGGGCCATGGCTTTCCCACTTCCTTTTCTTCGCCTCCTCGGCATTCCTTCGCTTTCTTTCCTCCCACTCCTTCTCTCCCTTCAGGCCTTGTTCAACCACTTGACTAAACGTCATATTAGGCAATTGTGTTGCCCTCTCACGTATGTCAAGGTCCAAGGCATCCCAGAAGTGGTTCACCATCCGGTTCTCATCACATATGTACTCCGGTATGAATTCGGCAAGCTTTCTGAACTTGTGCTCAAGTTCCTTCACCGTGCATGCACCTCCTTGTGTCAAGTTTGTATACTCCCTCCTCTTCATGTTTACCTCGAAGTCGGAGTAGTATTGGTTGAAGAACTCCTGCCGGAAGTTCTCCCAAGTGACGGCATCGCCGTACTTCCCTTTGACTCCATCCCACCATGTGGACGCCATGCCTTCAAGCAATCTTATTGCCACCCTTAGTTTCATGTTGGGTGGCAGCTGCATGTCAAGGGCCGCTTCGTTGAATCTTTTGATCCACTCGGCCGCCACGGAGATGTCCCCCGTTCCGTCAAACGGTTTACATCCCAAATCTCTTGCTTCCTTGATAAATTTGGAGATCCTTATGGTTGGACCTCCAGCATTTTGGCCTCCATGGGGTTCAACATGGACCCTAGAAGCACCATGACTTCCCCCTCTTGAAGCCATGCCCGAAGGTTGCCCCGCTCGGCGCCTTCGGCGTTGTCTCCTCTCCTCACGCTCCCGGTGGTATTGTTGGAGCAGCGCCTCGATTCTCCCAAGAGTGCCATCATCTTCACTCTCTTCACTCACATCATCATCCTCCCCATCATATGGGGTTTCCACCGGCTCGGTTTCCGGTCTATAAGTTGAGTCCTCATAGGACCAATAAGTCTCGCTCTCGGTGTCCACGTGGCCATCGCTCACGGTCTGTTGTTGGCCTCCACGGCCCCTTCCCCTTGACACCCTAGTGGACCCCCGGCTGCCGCGTTCGGACCCACCCGGTACACGGCCCGTCGGGTTCCTCCTAGTGATTCTACCAATTGGCTCCATTTCTGAAAGAAGTTTAGAATGAGCCATTAGACTCGTATCAACTGTCAAGTGACGGATAGATACTTAAAGACATCTTTTGGCTTAAATCACCGCCATACCAATTGTTAAGGGTACCATCTTAACAATTAGAGACCTTGCAACTCAAGTACCAAAAGTTCTATAAGTACAAAACTTTATGCTCATGGTTTGCAAAATCATTTTCAAAAAGGAATTTTGAAGCTTCATTATGAAGTTTACGGACTAAGTCTCTGATACCAATTAAATTGTCACGCCCCGGACCTACCGGACACGTCAACAACCCGCCGTACAGTACGAATAGTCAACCGCAGTCCAACTCATCCATACTATACTAGGCGTCTTGAATACCATTCACACATAGTACATCCATAAACCATCATAATGTAAAATATTTAATTAAGCAGCGGAAACATAATTACAAATATTCAAGCCACACGTGGCAACCACGGGCATACAAGCCCCAAATAAATATTCGAAATAATATCCATGAGCATTATTTAAATTGTTTTCAAAACAGAAACAGAAGAAGCACGAACCACGCCTTCCTCCTTGAATTCCCCGAAGCAACGAGCGGTAGTAGCAAGCTCTACTCCCTACCTGAAACTGTGAGTTGGCCTCCCCCGTGAAGGGGAGGTCAGTACTTGGAAGCATTTGACAAGTACAATGACAACTATACTAAGTATATTCAAAGTTTCAACTTCCAAGACCCTCAATCCAAGATGTTATTCATTTGTACTTAACTCATGTTCCTTCATGCTAGAGCTCGGCTCATAGTCATGCTAATTTGTGCTAGAGCTCGGCTCATAGTCACCCTACGTTTGCTAGAGCTCGGCTCATAGTCATACTAATTTGTGCTAGAGCTCGGCTCATAGTCACCCTACGTTTGCTAGAGCTCGGCTCATAGTCATACTAATTTGTGCTAGAGCTCGGCTCATAGTCACCCTACGTTTGCTAGAGCTCGGCTCATAGTCCTGCTACCACGTGCTAGAGCTCGGCTCATAGTCACGTCAACTAATCCCTAAACCACTTCTTAGTCTAGGTTTCATCAATTTTGAGTAACCCTTAAGGCCTACTCCAAATGTAACTTGAGTTCATAATAATTTGAATATCTCAATTCAATTCCACATTCAAGTATAACTTGGCTCTAATATCAAAATATCACTTTTATCCTTCCATGACTTCCTTACATGAGGTAAAAGTATATTTATCACAATTTAGTTTATAGTTTACACAACTATTATACCATTGTATTCATAACACATAATCATACACAATTTATTCATAAATTCGTATATTATGCATTTTTGCTTATAATCAATAAGAATCTCATTTAGGCATTTTATTATTATAAATACATCATGCCAAACACATATAATTCATTTAGGTAATCTTATGAAATTAACCCAATAATTATAAGCAATATAGTCGGTCATCCTCACCTTAAGTGAGCTTAAGCGTGTTCTACGCTCCGCGGTCAATCTTTGACTAATTCCGGTGAACTTTGACCAACTCCGGCGAACTTTGACCAACTCCGGTGAAACTCCGGCGAGGTTCAAAAATGCTCCAAACAAGTCCCTAACAAGGTTTTGACATCATAAAACCTTAATCAATACAAATAACCTCTAAAAGGTTATTTTCCGGTGAACTTGTCGGTTTGGCTTCTAAGTCCATTTTTGGACTTAGAACCACTCCCCAACCCATCATTCCACACTTTAATTATGTAGAACAACTCTCAAGGTCTTTCATATGATATATATCACATATGATAGAAGAAAAATAAAGGAAAAGTTAATATAAGGTTATTACCTTAATCTTTCTCACTTTTCCTAGCCTTTCCTCTCTTTAACTTTTCCTCTTGGACCTCTATTGCTTGAGCTCTCTTCAAAGATGGAAAAAGAGGATGGAGGTTTTCTTTGTCTTGCTTGGGATAGTGCTGGCCGAGAGGAAGAATGGGGGAGAGAGTGAGTGAGGTTTCCTTTTTGGCATCTTTGCCAAATGAGTGAGAATGGGGCCCTTGGGATGTCAAGGTTGTCCCTCCCATCTCCTCAAGCTTTTCAGCCCATGTGTGATATAGCTCAGCCCCCCTTTTTGTTGCTAAATTCGTGGGTTGGCCCCCACCCATGTGGGAGGTCAACCCTTTTTGTCCAGAAGTGTACAATCGGCCCCGAAAGTTGTATTTTTCGGACTGTTTTAAATATATTTTATTTTATCGGGTCAAATAAAATATATTATGTGTTCTTAATCATTATACCCTTTATAATGAATATACATTCCCAAACTTTAATTTATAAGTCCCCGAAATTCAATTTCGAGCTTTTATCGGTTAAATTATCAATACCGATATTTGGGCTTCTTTTGACCAATCGGTCAACTCTGGACCTTTCCATGGTTCAAAAGAAGTAGCCACCCCTATATAATTATTATCTTGACCAAGATAAATAAAATATATGGTTTTGAGAATTTCGGGCGGCCCCCGCCCCCGGTGTGGGCCCACGTGCGGATTTACTGTTCACGTAAAAGAATTAATAAAATTCACAATGTCGCATACTCATTAACCATTCCACAAGTTTCAATACACTATTTACTCAAAAGTAAATACATTTGGGGACGGTGTTACAACACCAATATACGAGTTTGAACAGTACAATAATCAATCATGCGCTATGTAAAAACATTAATCATTTTACAATTGTTTGGAAATCGGAAATCCAATACATAGAAATTCAATTTTTAAATTGAATTTTCAAGGACGTTCGGGTGCGGTGTCACAAGATAAGTTTATTATAATTATTATTTTAAATAAGTATAGTTTATTGTTTGTCTTGAATATAAGCTCAAAACATTATCTCGCCCATAGGCCCGAAAATAGACGGGACCAACCCTGATGTTCTCGTTGCAAAATGACACGGTTAGATAATAATTAAATATGATAATTCGAGTATATTTTGAGAAATAGCTTTGATGAGTACATGTATATAATATAATGAGATCATTATTGATAACTGCGACATTATAGATGTATTATTATTTTTAGTATTTGATGAAATAATAACCTTTATATGGGACGTCCAAAAAAGAAAAGTGAAAACCTTAGAATGAGACGGAGGGAGTAGGTTTCAGTTACAAAAATGATCTTAAAAGAAAAATGATGTAGTCTTTTGATAAAAAGTTGACTGTTTGATTTAGTTCTATTTGGTGTAACAAGCTGTTGTGGCTAATTAATGTTAAAAGTTATAGACTTTCTCCCAAATGTCACTTAGTGTAGTTTCTAAAAAAGATCTTTTTATTTTGAAAAAATTTAAAAATTTGCGTCACAAACATACAATAGAAGCTTTTAAAGATTTTTAAGTAATACAAAAGCTAAAAGATATGGACTTATGTCTACGAAACATGCGTTAATTAATGGTAAAAGCTACTCCGTGCAACTTCTCAATAAGATCTTTGTTTTTAAAAAGAAATATTAAAAAACTTTTAGAAACTTTTAGAAAATTAAAAGGTAAGAATTATGCCAACCGAACATGCACATTATAAAGTTCAAAATGCAAATACCGAAAATTTAAACCATTAAAGGATCACGCAAATATTATAAATACTTCTTCCGTTCCTTTTTATTTGTAACGTTTCCATTCTCACGTTTGCGAACGTGCAATTTTAATTATTAATGTATTTCATTCTTTATTGGTCAAAAATTAAAACATTCAGATTTAGACAATTTTGACCATTCATTCATGAGGAAAGTGTCAGTTTAGTACATGATATCTGATAAGTCCGTATTTTGACACGTATTTGATGCGTGTTGAGATCGGCTTTTGATGATTTTCCTAGTTTTAAGGTGTTACAAGTCTCAATTTTAGCTCAAGTTATGTTTACCGGGCGTTGGTTCGAGTTTTGTGTTGTTTGTAGTCAAAATAAAGGAATTTGAGCCCGGCACCGGCACTTGAGGAACAATCGGGATGATTTGAGAAGCATTTGAGAATGATTTGATAGCTTTGGAGGTCACCGGAAGATTCACGATGAAGATTTGAAGGAAAAAGAGCTCTAGGATTGGCTACGGGGTCAAAAGAAGATGAATGAAGCTTGAAAACGACGATTAGGATGACCTTCTGTCAGTCGTTCAAGCATATATCTTTGTAGAAACATCCAATGTACACGATTCAAGTTCCATATGAAAGCTAACTTCAAGGGATACAAATCATATGAAGACACCTTTGCGAGAATCTGAGAGGAAGAAGGTGAAAACAGACGATGAAGTCAGATGATCTCTGCTGCGATTTCAGAAAGACACCTTCCACCGTTTTGATCATATCTCTTGATTGGATGATTCAAATCACATTCGACAAATTGGGGTGGATATAGGACTTCATTATCTACAACTTTCATGAAGGAAGTTTTGTCAAATTCGGATGTTAAGTAGGCACGATCGTGCCCTCAAAGTCAGACATGATCGTGCCTGAAGAGAAAAGCACCGCGGAGTTACTGCCAGCCACGCACGATCGTGCCTGGAGGGAGGCACGATCGTGCCTGCCCAAAATGCGCGTTTTTGCTCCGGAGGCACGATCGAAGGCACGATCGTGCCTGGCTCCGAAAATCCTAATTCAACTCAAATTTCACCCGATTTTTCTATTTAAACAGCCTGTAAACCCCCGTTTTCAAGGGGGGATCTTAGAGAGAGTGCCTAGCACGAATTTTAGAGGGGTTTTCAGCCTTGTTCATCAATCTTTTGGTATTCTTTGTAAGTTCCACCTTTTTAATTAATGACAATTAATTCTATTCATTCCAATTCTATTGATTCTTCAATTATGAATTGTGAGTAGTTTTAATTAGGGATTTGGGATTGATGAAGGGGTTAATCATGATGTATGGCTAGATTCTTTTCGATTTAATTGCATGAATGCCGTTTAATTTGTGTTTGAATAATTTAATTGATATCTTTTGTAATCTAGAATCGCGACTAGAATTACAATTGCATGTAGAATAAATTAAGAGAGATCTAATTTGTTCTAGGACACATTCACACACACTTAATCGTTCGCTAAGAGATTAGTAGCGATTAAGGGGCCGTAAGCTCGCTCGTCTTGGCAATAATATAGGATCCTATCGCATGAGAGATCAGCCTGGTCCCCTAAAGTATTGTACTCTACGCCGCGAGAGCGGTAAGAACTTAGTAATGATTAGCTAGGCTCAATTAAATTAATTTCATGTATTTAGGCCTGATCTGCCAGAAATCCAGTTACCCCGGAATCAATCCCGGTTCCCTTCGTCATTAATTAGAAAGAACCCCTTAGTTTAATTGTTCGCATTAGTTTTATTTTCCAAACCAACCAATCTCGCACGATGCTTTTATTTTATTTTCTTTTTAATCACTGAATTTAATTAATTCTTGATTCCCTTTTGTCCGTCCCTGTGGAGACGATACTCGTACTTACACAACTATATTACGATCTATTTTAAGTGCGAGAAAACTCACATCAATATCATAGCCAATGGAGTAAAGAGTACCTGATGTTGCAATCGAGACACAGAGGTACATAAAATCACTGAACGAGTGTTAATTTGATACCTGGTTGTATTTAAGCATAACAAACGCTGACATGACCAATAGTTTAGTGATGTGGCAAAATTAAATACACAATTAAACAACCTTAGCCGTTCTACCTTAACAGCTCAACCCACCTCTATACATTTCTCTTAATACGGCTCTTCTTGCTCCCCCCAGTATGCTCCTCTTTCCTTTCTTAGCCTTTTGCGCTGGTACACTCCCCTCCTTCCTCCTGCACCAACTCATTTTAATGTTTCTCTCTGACCTTTTACTTCACCAACAACCATGGTTCTCAATCGCTCTACCCAATATTCTTCTTCTCCCAATCCAAAAACTCAGCCCAGTCCAGGCATCAAAAAACATCCCAGCGAACAGGGCTTCCTCGTCAGCAAGTCAGGCTAGGGTTACGGCCCAACCCCCAGTCCACCTTCGCTTCGAGCCAGCGCCGCAAGAGAGGCGTGAAAGCCGGTCAACTCTTCGCCTGCTTTTGTGGTTGTCTTCTCCGGCGAAGCACCAGGCATTCTTCTATAGCCCCCAAACTAAAGTTCCAAATTCATGGCTTGCACATGATAATTCCCCAGCATGTACCCACCCCTGCCAGGTTCCGGCAACCACCCTGGCAGCACCAGTGGGAGAGAAAGAAACCCGGCCGGAAAAGTAAGCTGCCAAACCAGAATCCCCCACCCCATATCTCACCCTGTTGGGACAAGAAATGATTGAAGAAATAAATAAAGGTGGGGCCAATGAGCTTAAGAAATACAAACCATTAAAAATTGCCAACTCAGTATTTTACCCCGCCTAATTTCTATAGGACTAAATTAGCACTGATTATCAGAGTTTATGTACCTCTGAGTCTCGATTGCAACATCAGGTACTCTCTACTCCGATCCATTGGCTACGATTTCATGTACTGAACTGACACTTTCCTCACTAATTTATTACATTAACACCGTCAAAGCACGGCATATGACTTTTTGTAGAATTTCCTTAAATCTAACCCAAATTAGTTGTTGGGGTATTGGGTCATGCACATGCATGCCCAAATACCCCCAAGCGGCCCAGTTAACACAAGGGTCCAAAGTCTGCTCACGGATGTTTCGGAGCTCGTTCGCCCCAAGCCGTTCGTATCCTATCAAAAAGTTACTTGAAGTGTCTTTTTGTTTTTGGCTTTTTCATGGCAAATATCTGTTACAATTTAACTAACGCAATACGAAGAACGATAAGAAAGAACACACGAAATTTGGTAACCCAGTTCGCCACAAAGGACTACATCTGGGGGCGCTACCAAGCAAGGATGTTACTATGAATTTCTGATTGTGATTACAAGGAGAGAGCTTGTATTTATAGAGAGTAAAACCTAACCCGTAACAATAATAGGATGCGCGCGGCCCATATACTAAAAGGACCCAAA